GGGTTTAAGCATAGTTGGGGCTTAAGGGGCCCTACTTCTGTGCACCCATGACCCTTCCAAGTCGACTGGGCTGTATGTTTTATGGGGTTTCCTGGTTCCTGTGTTTCGGGCTTTCGGGGAGCTTTTGGGCTGTAGAGCTTAGGGTCAAAAACCCTGAACCCTAAACGGTTTAGGGTTTAGGCTTTGGGTTTAGGGTTTATAGGGTTTAAGGTTACAGGGTCAGTGAAGCCGCAGCAACGAAAAGGGTATGGCGCTGAGTGTGAGGTGCTCATTCTTTCCTAACCGGAGGGTTCATTTCTGGTACCTTATACCCCGCTACCGCATGATCCTTTGAAGCCCAAACCTGTGACCCCAAAACCCCAAAACCAGGAATCTTGTAAGCCTGTAAGCCCTCATAAACCCCCATAAACCCTCATAAACCCACATAAACCCTCATAAACTCTCTCATAAACCCTCATAAGCCCTATTAACCCGATAAAATGATAAAACCCTATGAAACCCTATGAGCCCTATAAAAAACCTATAAGCCTCAATCCATCCTCCAGTTGCTCCTGCTTTTTGTCTTGCAAGGTGTGGGGTCGTCGAAAGCGGCCCTGGACCCAAACCTGGTTGTGTTTTGCATGTTTGCAGTAGGGTGTTTAGGGTTTTAGGGTTTATAGGGTTTTGGGTTGAGAGTTGAGAGCTTGGGTTTCCAGGGCTTTTGGGCTTTTCGGCTGCCAAGGCGGCTTTTTTGGCGACTGCGGGGGGCGTGGCCTTAGCTTCAGAGCAGGTCTTCAGCTTCCCGGAGGTTCTCACAGCTTGAACCCTTCGTTGCTGAGTTCAGAAGCCCCCAAAAAGTTTACACTTTCAGTTCTATAGGGGATTAGAGTAGCCAAAAAGTGCAAAGTGTACTCATTCAGCTACTAAGAACCCAGAGGGCCCAAATGCCCTAAACAAACCTGTAAACGATAAACCCGCAGCCGAAGTAAGCTCTAACCCAAAGGGGCTGTCAGTAGTTTAAATATGGCTAGAGTGGTATTTGGGTAGCCTTGACCCAAGAGAGCCCTGGAAGTGGGCTGTCAGGGTGTTTAGGGGTTTAGGGGTTTAGGCTAAGGGGTTTTGTAGAAATTGTGTCGTGTTCAGGTCCGGGGGTTTTGGGCGGGGTTTTGGGCGATTTTTTTGTTGTGCGTTTGAAGACCTGGCGGGGCTCTAAACACTAAACTTATAAACCGCAGACCCCAAACCTCGACTACGGCGTGAACCTTACGGAGTACGCAAGCATCTTGGGGGATAGTTGGACCTTGCGTTGGGGTTGGGACAGGAGTCCCTTAGAAGGGGTCCTCAAAAAGGGGGGAATCTTGAGGGTTTTGGGTTTAGGGAAGTGTCAAGGCTTAAGAGTTTATAAGGTTTAGGGAGGGCAGGATATATCTACCCCCCCCCCTCCCGTCATGGTAGATTGAAAGTGGAAGGCCCCCACTCGCTACAGGCACCAACCCGCAAACCAATCCCCCGAGTCGATGGCCCGCGGCATCACCACCTTTCTCGCACAGTGTAGGGTGCACTTGAAGGTTCATGGGTACTTAGTAGGAGGGTTAAACTTACCCTGAAGACTGCTATACCCACAGCCACCCTCGCTATGTCCTTACAGGTACCCATGAACCTCCAAGAAAGGTTCAATTAGGATTTGGTAGGGGTCCCAGGAGCCGTAAACCCTACCCAAGTACGGTTGCGTTAGGGTCTAGTAAGGTCCGCGAAACCCTAAACCCTAAACCCTAAACCCTCAACCCTATTACCAGGGTTTGCTGCAGGGTTAGGCGGGCTTCGGGGAGGAACTGCAGGATCGGCTGTAGGTTCAGGGGGGGGGGGGGGCACTTGCAAGCGTGCTTAGAGTCCTTAGGGTTTGGGGTTTAGGGTTTTAGGGTTGGTTCTGTTTTGGTGTTGTTTTGGGTCTTAGGGTTACAGGGGCTTAGGATATTCGGGTTTTACTGCTCAGGGGCTTTAGGGTCTTGGGGGGTTTAGGGATTTTCTTGCGCTTGAGCTGTTCCTCAACCACGATACGCCTAGTAATTAGAACCCATTAGGTGGAAAGACAACTGTGGCAGCTACCTACTTGTGTTTTAGGGTTATAGGTTTAGGGTGTAGGGTTAGCCCTACTTGAATGCAGATGTGAAGCTGCCGCGGACTCTGTTTTCCCCTGAAATCTTGCATTTCTGAGCCGCTGGCAGGCTGAGGAGGTAAAGCTCAAGTGCCCGAGCTAACTTATGCTAAACTTCTTTAGCATGGCATTTAGGGTTTAGGGTTTAGGGTTTAGGGTTCCGGGTTTAGGGTTGCTTTGCTCTAGCAACTGACACGGTGACTCAAGAGGAACATGGGTTGGAGCGCGCTCTATTCGCCCTCTGCTAGCACTTTGAAACTTCTGAACCACAAGCCCTTCAAACACGATTCAACCCTAAACCCTAAACCCTAAACCCTAAACCCTAAACCCTAAACCCTAAACCCTAAACCCTAAACCCTAAACCCTAAACCCTACTAAAGCCCGAGAGCCGCTTAGGCGTCGGACGCCAGTTCCCCGGTTCACCACCTCGGCGGTCTTGTACTCGCAGCTGAGCCTTGGGGTTTAGGGTTTGGGGTTTACGGCTAGGGTTTAGGGTTTGGGGTTTGGGGTTTAGGGTTTAGGGTTTGGGGTTTGGGGTTTAGGGTTTAGGGTTTAGGGTTTGGGGTTTGGGGTTTAGGATTTAGGGCTTGGGGTTTGCGGTCTGCTCAGAGGATGACAAAGGGTGAGCGAGTAGCCAAACGCTCCACCAAACGAAACACTTTCAACAACAGTTCTACCTAACCCTAAACCCTAAACCCTAAACCCGAAACCCGAAACCCGAAACCCTAAACCCTATATTTACATGCAGAGTCGATGGGCTGTGCGGGCTCCCGAGGTTTCAGGCGCTGCAAAGGATTGTCGGCGAACCGAAAACTGTTGCTCCTGGAGGCCCTTGGGAAGGATGTAGATTGTGGTACATCTTGCTTAGGGTTTAGGGTTTAGGGTTTCGGGCTTCGGGTTCAGGGTTTAAGGTGGAGCGTTTAAGGTTTAGGGTAAAGCATATAGTCCCTTACGAACTTATGCGGGAAGAAGGGCCCCCCAATCCCGCAGGAAGCAAGCCCCCCCCCAAAGCCCCGCAAAACCGGAAAAGCCCAAACCGCGAAGACCGGGCATGCTTGAGACTGTAGGGTCTTAGCGTTTACCTTAAACCCTAAACCCTAAACCCTAAACCCTAGGTGTTCGGGATGGACCGGCCACTCCTCAGAGGATCTTTTTGGACAAGGACGACTTTTTCCAGGGCGCGCGCTGGCTCTGCTCAAAACCCATTCCTTGGGATGTTCCTCGTAAGACGAACTAGGGTTTAGAGTTTAGGGTTTAGGGTTTAGGGTGTCCTTAATGAGATTCTGATAGGGGGTACTATAATCCGTGTCAAGGACTGTCCTCCCTATCTTTGCAGACCTTGTGTATTGCAGGGAAAGAAAGCCTCTTCGAGCCCCTAAGACGCCTCACTCAGACGGCACTCACAGGCCAAAACTTGGAGGCACGTGCCTGGTAGCCCAAATCCAAATTCCTCAGGCTCTATTGTCTCAAACCCTAAACACTACACCCTAAACCTTAAACCCTGCAACCCAAGTATTCCCCAAGGTCTGGCACCGTTCACCCCCACTCAGGACAGGATTGGCCCAGGCTGCGACAGCACCGCTAGCTTCGCGGCCTGCAGGGCTGGAAGGTTGTCATTGAGGTTCGGGGTGTTAGGGTTTTGGGGTTTTTGGGGTTTAGGGTTTAGGGCTTAGGGGGTTTAGGGGTTTAGGGTTTAGGATTTAAAGTTTAGGGTTAGGGTCTAGGGTTTAGGGGTTAGGGGTGTGGGGGCTCGGGGTTTGGGGGAATCGGGTTTTGGGGGTTTGGGGGCTTAGGGTTTTGGCTTTCAGGGATTTTGGAGAAAAGGTTCTAGGCTTTGGGGTTTAAGAGTTTAGCTCATTTTGGGGTTTAGGGTTTAGGGGTTCAGGGAGGTTCCAAAATAGGGGACCCCTTTATAGAGCCCAAACGCTATTGTCTTTCAAGGGGCCCCGGCATCCAAAAACAACAATAACCCTAAACCCTAAACCCTAAACCCTAAACCCTAAACCCTAAACCCTAAACCCTAAACCCTAAACCCTAAACCCTAAACCCTAACCCTAAACCCTAAACCCTAAACCCTAAACCCTAAACCCTAAACCCTAAACCCTAAACCCTAAACGCTAAAATCCTACGGCTCCCCCAGTTGTGAGAGGGCTGCGCGGCTCCCGTGTGGTTCCCTCCAGGCTTCGCAAACTTCGGTTCGGGGTGCTGAAAACTCAACTCTGGCAGGTCCTTGTACGGGACCTCTCCTAAACCTGCCTTAGACCCGTCTTGATTCGACGAAATCAGAACGTGAGAGCCTAAACCCTAAACCTAAACTAACCCTAAACCCCAAACCCTCGACCCTAATCCCTAAACCCTCAACCCTAAACCTAAACCCTAAACCCTAAACCCTAAACCCGAAAGCGCGCTTCACTGGATCGACAAAGCCGTCATCTGCTGGCCCCACACCCCTCAGAGCTAAACACTACAAGCCCCTTAAGAGCCCCTAGAACCTCAACCCTAAATCCTAAACCCTAAACCCCCCAAGACCCCAAAAGCCCAAACCTTAAATACAGTAAATACAGAAGTGGGGTATCACCCCAACAAAAGGGGGTACAGGCCTCTGGGTACTCTTATGGGTAGGGTTTTAGGTCGGGCAACTAACTATGGTTACAACCTTGTACGCCCCAAACCCTAACACCCAAACCATAAACCCTGGAGGATTTGTTTCCAGCGGGTTTGTGAGAACCTCAACCCCATAATCCTTAGGGTTTTAGAGGGCTTTCTAGGGGTTCTATAAGGGGTTTTATAGGGATTCATGTGGGTTTCATAGGGGTGCCCGGGCTTGGAGTACTAGGGCTTGAGGGGCAAGATCATTTTCTTCAGCTTATTCTGCAGACAGCGCCGTCCGCAGGCAAGGAAGACTCCTGGCAGCGGCTTTTGAAAACCTAAACCCTAAACCCTAAACCCTAAACCCCTAACCCCTAAACCCTAAACCCTAAACCCTTTAACCCCTAACCCCTCAACCCTAAACCCTTTAAACCCTAAACCCTCAATCCCAAACCCTAAACCGGAACTGGGGTTTGGGGCTTGGGCTTGGTGTTCGGTTTTCGCCCCGGCGAAGAGTTTGAGCTTCGCCCTTGGGGCTTCGAATGCAGGTCTACAGAATTTCCACGAGGACCAGAAGAAGTTGGTACGATTAGGTACGAGTACTGAAAGGGACCTCCCGTCCCAGCAGTTGCAGCAGTGCCCCTTGCTTGCTCTTAGTATAGGGGGTGAGGGAAAGAGGTACCGCATATAACCTTTGAAAGTGTCACTTAGGGGATCTAGCCTTTTTAAGTTTTTAAAGGGTGATATAGGGTAAGGTACCTCATTCCCCAGAATTCCCAAGAAGAACCAGTGGAGGTTTCGGTCTCCCTGTCCTGAAGGAGCTGAAGCACTGCCGGCTGCTCACGGCTGGCCACATGGTAGGCAGATTCGCCGGCCGAGTTGGTCGCATCCAAGTCAGCCATGTGATCCTTAGTTGCTGAGTTCATAAGCCCCCCAAAAAGTGTACACTTTCAGTTCTATAGGGGATTATAGTATCCCAAAAAGTGCAAAGTGTGCTCACTCAGCTACAAAGGATCTAAAAGCAGGCGCACCAGCTCCACGTAGCCACAGCGGGTAGCCACCATCAGGGGTCTCTCCCCGTTCGGCCCGGACTTCTCCACGTTGGCGCGAGCTTCCAGCAAGTGGCGAACCACATCCAGGTGTCCACCGCTACACGCCCCAAAGAGTGGAGTCTCACCCCGGCTTGTCACGGTCTCTGGTTGAGCACCAGCCTTCACCAACATGCGCGCCACCTCCGCATGCCCGTCGCGCGAGGCATAGAACAGAGGCGTCTCGCCGAGCGTGTCGGAGGCATCTAGCTGCGCCCGCGCCTCCAGCAACACCCTTGTGACCTCCGCGTGCCCACCTATACTGAACTTGGTACCCTTGCAAAAATCTTCATCTGAGCTGCTCCTTTTATGGTAGCCAACAAATCAAAAGGCTTCCCGAAGTACCCCTAAGTCACCACGTGCCGCCATGCCCAATGAGGTCTTGCCAGACACCGTGGTCCTCTCCGCATCCGCCTGGGAGCTCAGCAGGAGCTGCGCTACTTCCTCGTGGCCCCCTTGCGCAGCAGCGAAGAGCGGAGTGGAGCTGTCCTCGTTGTAGTGGCTGATATATATATATACATATATGTATATGTATATACACACATGTGTAGAGCCTTAAGTTGGGTCCCCTGCCACCCGAAACTCTGCAAACTTCTGAGTTGTATCTGTAGCCTAATTAACCTCGACCCCGTACCTAGATCAGAAAGTAGCCTTCTGCAACGGAAAAAAAACTAAATCAAAACATGTCCCCAATCGCTATGATACATTTCCGTTCTTCAAGTTTAGAAAGGTTGCGCCGTCATCCCTTAACCCTAAACCCGAAACCCAAAACCCGAAACCCTGGACCCCAAACCCTCAATCTGAAACCTTAGACCCTGCCCCCTGAGGGAAACCCTAGCGTTGCGCCGGGTGTCGTCATGGGCGACCGGGTTTGCCCGCACGCCGGCCTCGAAACCCTCAAGCCCAAGCTACGGGTGCAGGGTTCTAGAGGGCTATGAGGTCAAGGGTTGTAGGGTCTATGGTCTAGAGTCTAGGGTAGTAGGGTTTAGGGTTTAGGGTGTAGGGGTTAGGGATATGGGATTTGAGGTTTAGGGTTTTAGGGTTTAGGGTTTAGAGGGTTGTAGGGTTTAGGGACTTGCAGGGTTTGAGGGCTTACGGATTTAGGGTTGGAAACTCAAAGCTTTTGGGCTCTACGGATTAGGGGTTGAGGGCTCGGGGCCTTTTGAGCCTAAAGCTCGAATTTCCCAACCCTGAAGACTATTCACATTCTCAACCCCTAGACGCCACAAAAATGCAACCACCAAAGCCGAAGCTCCCGATACCCAACACTGCGGAAACTACAATGAACCATAAACCGGTGGTTCATTTGTGGACAAGCCCGAAAGATTTCCAGCACCCAAGTCGTAGGTATCGACTGTATTCACAACCACTGTGGGGCCCTATTGTCTTCCCATTGTCTTCCCTGTCAAGCATACCTCCTGGCCTGGAGGAACCCTTGTCCCCAAACCCTCAACCAAAAAGCCCTGGAGCTTAGCCTAGGTGGACCCTAAAGCACTTTGAGATTCCTAAACCCGTAAACCCATAAACCCCTGAATCCACAAACCCTGCGTAAACCCTAAACCTAAACCCCTATATAAGCCATCCTGAACCCATAAACAGCTACGTAAACCCTAAACACCTCTAAGCCGCCTAAACTTCCAAAGATTCTAATCCTCCTAAACTTCCTAAACTTCCTGAACACCCAAAACCCAACCCTCAACCCTCAACCCTCAACCCTCAACCCTCAACCCTCAACCCTCAACCCTCAACCCTCAACCCTCAACCCTCAACCCTCAACCCTCAACCCTCAACCCGCAACCCTCAACCCCAAACCCAAAACCCCAAACCCAAGCCCCAAGCCCTAAACCCTAAACCCTGAACCTTTACAAAAGCTGGCCTCCAGTAGCAGCCGCGCAGCGCCCAAGCGGCCGTTCGCCGCGGCCGCGAAAAGGGGGGTGATGCCATGGGCGTTGCTCTGATTCCTGAGGAGGATAGGGTTTAGGGTTTAGGGTCTACGTAGGGTTTAGAGTTTAGGGTTTAGGAGTTAGGGGTGCGGGGTTAGGGGTTCAGGGTTGAGGGTTCAGGGTTAAGGGGTTTAAGGGTTGAGGGTTTCGGGTTTAGTTGAGGGTATAGGGTTTGATCAGTTCAGGGATCCGATTCCCGAGGCAACCAAACCCTGAACCCTGAACCCTGAACCCTGGACCCTGAACCCTGAACTCCCTAAACCCTAAACCCTAAACCCCAAACCCCTAACTAAGTGAGGGGTCGCTTCCGTCGAGCGACAGACCCCGAACGCTCGGCCGAGGGCCTTACAGCCCGAGCGCCCAAGCGAAAAGAGAAACGGAAAGGTGAGGGTTAAGCCTCACCGTCTGTCCTGGACAGGCCAACGGACATCGGCCTTTTTTACGACAACGTCAGTACTCGGCTAAGGGATGGCCGGCACCCAGACCACCTTTAGCGTCAGGGTTTGCCGGGCCCCCCCCCCGGGGGGCCCCCTGGTCCCTGGTAGCTGGATTCCTGGACCAGGAGGCTGGCGAGGGGTCCAGGCAGGCTGACTGCTCAATTTCGTGATTTTGGGGGTTTTTGGCGGCTTTTCCGGCCTCCCGGGCCAAGGGCCCCCCGGGCCAAAGGGCCCCCCCAAACCAAAGGGCCCCCCAAGCCAAGGGCCCCCTCGGGCCAAGGGCCTTTCGAGCCCCAGACCACCCCCGCGCCAAGGGGCCGGGCCAAGGGCTTTCCGGCCAAGGGCCCCCCAGGCCAAGGGCCCGCCCCAGGCCAAAGGCCAAGCCCCCCCCCTGGCCGGGCAAGGAAGGGCCTCCCGGGCCAAGGGCTCCCCGGACAAGAACACCCCGAGCCAAGCGCCCCTGCCAAGGCCCCTGGGGCCAAGGGCCCCCCAGGCCCAGGGGCCCCCAGGCCAAGCCCCAAACCAAAGGGCCCCGTCGCAGGCAAGGCCCTCCCAAGGCTGAGGCCAAACCGAAGGGCCCGCAGACGCCCTGCCCAAGCCCCCCCAACTAGGGCTCAGCGCGGGGCCCCTCGGGCCAAGGGCCCCCACACACCAACACCCTCGCAGGGAATCGCACGCTCAGGAAGCCCCCAAGAACCGCCAAGAGCCACCAAAAGGCTTCAAAAGCTTCAAAAGGCCCACTAAAAGAAGGGGACCACAAGATTTGTCCTCCCACAATGAAAAATGCGGTTTTTGAATATTGAAAACGATGGTTTTAGGTACCCTTGCCCGCAATGAAAAATGTTCTTTTTTAGTACTGAAATCGATGGCTCCCCCCAAATCAGCAAGGACCTCTACGGGCCCTGACGTGCCGAAGGACCGAGGCTACTAAACCCTAACACCGCAAAAGCCTGCGAAGGCCTTCAAGCAAATAAGGGCCTCTACGGGCCCTAACTTGCCGAAGGCCCGAAAAGGGCCGAGGCTACCCCGAACCCGAGCTTAAACCCTAGCGATTGAAATACTCATTGGCGAAAAATTCATGAATAGGTTCCCTGACCTTTAAATGAATGAAGCCTCTACGGCCCCTGTGCGGCCAAAACTGATTGTGGAGAAGCCAACGCGATCCTAATTGGTGAGCATAATCCACTTCGAGCTACAGGTGTAAGTGTCGCCCTTAAGGATCGGATCTACAGAGAACATCTTCGAGTGCTTAAAAAGATAGCACCGTGCCCAATCGCTGTCGCCACCGCCGTTCCCTGTGGTGAACAAGCTGCTACCGACCAAGGCCATGTCGGACTGACGTGCTATTGTCTTGGAGCAGGCGCCCGAAGACCATGCAAATCATGCCATGATGGTGCGGTGCCCTTTCTTTCCTGCGCAAGCCCACAGCAAATCGCTGACGCTTCTCTGTTTGCACTCAATACCGGGGACCTTCCACGCTCATACTGTGGAGGCCCGTCCTCGCGAAGCCAGAATTGCTTGTGTTTTGCGGCCCTGAAAGCGGGGTCGCCCGACTTCCCCGAAACTTGGTTTTCTTCAAAAGGCTTCAAAAGGCCCCCTAAAAGAAGGGGGACCCCAGGATGCCCGTACCCGCAATGAAAAATGCGATTTTTTGGTAGTGAAATCGATGCTTAATTGAAGCCCTTAAAGAAGGGGAATCCAGGAGCAGACACAAAGGGTTTCCCTGACCTTCAAATAAATAAGGGCCTCTACGGGCCCTGACACGCCGAAGGCCCGAAAAGGGCCGAGGCTACCCCCAACCCCAGCTTAAACCCTAACAGCGCAACTTTAAAACATCAAAGCAAGCATCAAAGCACAAGAAAGTAAATTCCATAAACCCTAAACCCTAATAGAGTATAGTTTGGGTGGCCGGGGTGGGTTGACGGGCAACGCGAGCGCGCGGCCCGGGGTGTTTCACACCCGAGCGCGCGCCCTCCCCTGACACACCCTAAACCCTAAACCCTAAACCCTAAACCCCCCCCTCTCCCCCTCCTCCGCTAAGGCACTCCTCTGCACCCGCCTCGAGCAGCAGTTCCATGGTGCCTTCACATCCACAGGCTGCTGCCAGGTTCCTTTGCTTCAGGGCTTTTTGGGGTTTAGGGAGTTTTTTTCCGGGTTTAGGGTTTAGGGTTTAGGGGTTAGGGTTTAGGGTTTAGGGGTTTAGGGTTTAGGATTTAGCTGTTTGAGTGGGCTTGCCGCTTGCCCTAACTTCCGCACCCTAAACCGTGGGCATAGGGGCTTAAGAATTTAGCCTCAAAGCTAAAAGTTTATGAGCCCCCAGCAGTTGGCTTCGGCTCTCGGTTGTACAACTCGCCGAAAGGTCCTTCACCTTTTAGCCAATTCCAGAGTAACCTTTGCACGCGATAATCAGAGTCAGGAATAAGAGGGCACAACTATGACTGAGAAGCCGTATCTCATGTGTGCATCTAAAATTGCCATGCAGTCCTTTCTTCCACTCCCTCCTGGTTCCTGCCGCGTTCGAGTGTTGGGTCAACCGAGGTTCGTATGGCCACGGCTTCAAAGTGTGAGTTGCATGACCTGCAACGTTCATCGACTGACTCGGCATTTGACGTTCTTGCATGGCTCCAGGACATCTCGAATGAGCAGAGGCCGTAGTGTCAACGATGCAACAAGAGCACTTGTCAGCCGGCTTGCTTTGCATGCAGCATTGAGCGGTCAGCATTCGTGGGAGTACTTGGGAGTAGCTGTGGCAGCCTCCGCGGGCGATGGTCACATCTGTGCAGTGCGAGAAGATGGTCAGCTAGTCTGCTTCGGAGGCAACGAAAAAGGACAGTGTGATGTGCCAGCAGACTTGGGACCAGTTGTGGCAGTGTCCGCGGACCTGTGCAGTTCGAGCAGATGGTCGGCTAGTCTGCTTTGGGGGCAACGAAAAGGGAAAGTGTGATGTGCCTGCAGACTTGGGACCAGTTGCGGAAGTCTCCGTAGGCTGTCAAACCTTCGCAATTCGAGCAGATCGTCAACTAGTTTGCTTCGGAGGCAATCGTAGTGGACGGTATGATGTGCCCAAACACGTGGGACCTGTTCTGGCAGTGTCAGCAGGCTATTGTCATTCCAGTGCAGTGCGAGCATATGGTCAGCTAGTCCAATAGGTCGCGATTCCCGTACAACGTTCTGTGCTTTCCAGGTGCGATATGTTAGCAGACTTAGGACCAGTGTTGGCAGTCTCAGCAGGGTTGGATCACACCTGTGCAGTGCAAGCAGATCGTCAGCTAGTCTGCTTTGGAGGAATCTGTAATGAACATGGACAATTATGGGCAGTGCGACGTGCCGGCAGACTTGGGACCAGTTGTGGCAGTCTCCGCGGGGGATTGTCATACCGGAGGCAATCAGAGAAGAAATGAACAGAGTGATGTGCCGGCAGACCGGGGCCAGCCTTTCCGCAAAATTGTGTGCTGCGTGCCTTCGCTTTATGTATGAGTTATACAAGGTGTGAATGGGTCTTGAGATGGGGCAAAACAAGTCATCGGCTTGGGTTTCTTGTAGATACATTGTGGATGATCTCCCCCCCAAGACATATCGCAGACCCAAACCGAGACCCTTTCACAAAATAGAAACCCCTCACAAGTCGACTGTGTGCCATATCATAGATCCCTGCGCAGACCCTAAACACAGAAATAAATGATCCCGTATGATGTACCCTCTAGAGCCGGTGTTATATAACTATGCTACTGTATCCCTTTCTAAACATACCCAACTCATTGGTTGTATATATATATATATATGTATATATATATATATGTATATAGACCATACACACCGTTGTTAAATTTAGGGTTTCGGGCCTCCGTTCAGGGGCCCTAAACCCGAAACCCTAAACCCTTAACGCAGGCTGTAGTCTGTAGAGTGGAATTCGTACTGTAGAGGCTGCAAGCTCTGCGGCAAACTCGTCCCCACAAGCAGCCCAGCGTGGGGCACCGGGGTCTCACGCAATGCTCCACACGCAGGTTCGCACCCAAAGCCGGTGCATGGCATCAAGCCTAAACTCTAAACCCTATACGGGACGTAATTCCTAATTACACAGACTTTTACGGGTCATTCTGGAGCTAACCCTAAACCCTAAACCCCAAACCCTAAACCCTAAACCCCGTTGCAGGGTTCTGGTGCTTCTCAAGGTCCCAGGCTCAGGGCTGTGTCGCCGTCGCCGTCTGGCAGGTCAGGATCCTGTGGCCGCTGGAGGATGAACTCCACCTGTCCGGGAGGGTTTAGGGTTGAGGGTTTAGGGTTTAGGGTTTAGGGTTTAGGGGGTTTAGGGTTTAGGGTTTAGGGTTTAGGGGTTTAGGGGTTTAGGGGTTTAGGGGTTTAGGGATTTAGGGGTTTAGGGGTTTAGGGGTTTAGGGGTTTAGGGGTTTAGGGGTTTAGGGGTTTAGGGGTTTAGGGGTTTAGGGGTTCAGGGGTTCAGGGTTTAGGGGTTGAGGGGTTGAGGGGTTTGGGGGGTTAGGGGTTTAGGGGTTTAGGGGTTTAGGGTTTCTGGTTTGGGGGCTTGGGGGTTTAGGGGTTTTGGGGCTTAGGGCTTCGGGTGCTTTGCTCTGGCTTCCGGGATTTGTTTTAGCGTGGCCTTCGGGAACACAGGGTTTAGGCCTCGGCTACCTGTTTCAATCAGCAGCACGATTTTTTTCACGACCAGCGTTGTACAATGAAGCTACAGGGGAAGAAGGACAATTGCAAACGGGTACCCAGACTAAACCCTAAACCCTAAACCCCAAACCCTAAACCCTAGTGTGTTGAGATGTTCCCCCTTGTACTCTCAGTCCTTAAGAGGGATCCTAATCGGGGGTACTACAATTCCTATTCAGGACTGTTAGTAAACGGGGGAACATCACAACTACGGCATGGCAGACTTGCAAACAGTGTTGGCCTTGGGGTAGTTTCATGGTCCCTTAGTATGGGCCCTTAAAGGGGACCCCAATATGTGTTGATCGGCTTCGCTGGCATCTTGGGTTACACATGAAACCCCTCAGTGGAGATTTGCTTCAGAGCCCCCCGCCCCCCCCCCCCCCCCCCCCCGGGGGGTGGGGGTTGGACTTAATGCAACCTGATATGCCCCGAAATGGAAAAACCAAGATTTTGGATTTAAAGGAACCCCGAAAAAAGGCACCACTATTTTCGGAGATCCCGCCCCCATAACAGGGTCTCGGGGCTCACGGGCGTGCGCCTCATGCGTGTCGTCGTTCGCTGCAGCTGTAATGAGTCGGTCCGTCTGCCACTCACTGGTTTTGGCCTGAGCTTCCCAGCACTTGGAGGTTCAGGGTACTTATAGCCCAACTATAAGTGTAGTTATAACCCACTTGTAAGCCCCTTGAGTACCCTGATAGGGTTATAATTGGGTTATAAGTGCAGTTATAGTTGGGTTACGAAGTGCCATGAACCTCCAAGCAACCTTTCCCAGGATAGCCTTAAGCCTAAAACCCGAAACTCTAGACCCTAAGGTCCTGCACAAGCAACCTACCTGTTTAGGGGGCTATATATGACAGGTAGGGTTTCTGGGCTAGAGGTGGGGTAACCTTAAGCCAGGGCATGCAAGATTACTCAAGCCCTTGCCCCTCTAAACGGTTACTCTAGGTGGCGAAGAACGAAATCCCGAAGCCCGAAACCCTTCTTCGTCTAAGCTTAGGGATTAGGGCTTGGGGTTAAGGGTTAGGAGGATGGGGAAAAAGGGGCTGCATCAAGTTTAGAGTGTAGAGTCCATATGCTGCAAACTTCTCCAAACTTTCTGGCTCAAGTGGCCCGCAAGCAAAGGATACATCCCAAGCCCGAAACCCGACCCTAAACCCTAAACCCTAAACCCTAAACCCTAAACCCTAAACCCTAAACCCTAAACCCTAAACCCTAAACCCTAAACCCTAAACCCTAAACCCTAAACCCTAAACCCTAAACCCTAAACCCTAAACCCTAAGCCTGGGCATCCCGGGTGCAAATGGCAGGATGACCAGCTGGAGATCACCGGGTCCCGGGAGTGGACCATCGTCGGCCAGGATCTTCCCCTCCTGGGACACCAGCCTCTGCTACGTTTAGGGTTTAGGGTTTAGGGTTTAGGGTTTAGGGTTTGGGGTTTAGGGTTTAGGGTTTAGGGTTTAGGGTTTAGGGTTTAGGAATTCGGGTTTAGGGTTTAGGGTTGAGGGTTTAGGGTGCCACATTATATTTTATGGGCTTCCCTACTATCTCCTCTATACTACCCCCCCCCCCCCCCCGCCAGGTTCCCCTCTTAAATAACCTGCATTGGTCTTAGTTATCCCAAGATCGCCTTAATTATGGGGGGAACCTAGGGGAGGTAGTCGTAAAACCCAGCTGCCAGTCGGGTTCTGGGTCTAGGGTGCTCTTTAGAGGGTTCAGGGGTTTAGGGTTGGGGTTTAGGGTTCAGGGTTTTGGGTTTAGGGTTTGGGGTTTAGGGTTTGGGGTTTGGGGTTTAGGGTCTAGGACGTCTGGATGGAGGTAAGAAGCTTCTGCCGGAACCGGGGAAGACCGCAGCAGCTTCGCAGACGCTGCTTCAGAGCGTGGACCGGATTCTCGAGGGTCAGCGCCATGTCGCTTAACCTGAGCTTTAAAAAAGGATTTAGGGCTTAGGGGCCTAAACCCTTTAAAAACTAAAGCCTAAACCTTAAACCTGGGGGGTTTAGGCCTTACCCTGGGTGCTCTTCTTGCGGGCTTCAGCTGTTGATGGCTACGGTTGCAGCTGCGGCCATGGCACTTGGAGGTTCATGGGTACTTAGAAGTGGGGTTATAAGTAGGGTAACTATAACTAGGTTTAGATCCTTATTTAGGACACGTTAAACCCTGCTTGTGCCCATGATGAAGGGCTTTGGGTGCTCTAGGGCTTAGGCGGGGGTTTAAGGCTTAGGGTTTTGGGGGATTCCGGGCCTTGGCTGCCTCCTAAGTGGGGGGTTAGGGGTTTTGGCTGCCCCTACGCGCAGTTGCTCTTAGGGATATGGGTTTCTCCCGTTTTGGGGGCCCGGGCATACCCCAGTATTGCTTGGGGCATTGGGGCTTACGAATGTTAAGAGTGGACACCTGCTTTTGAGGGCATTTGGCTTCAAGCTTTTGAGTTTTTCGGGCTCAGAACTCATAGCACGGCTTAACTTAAAGGGGGTTGGATTCGCGCCTCGGTCCTGACTTGGATCTAGAGTTCTGCAATTCAACCCCCAAACCCCTGAACCCTTTCTGGGGCTCAAAGGACTCCCACAAAGGTTTCCTTGGGAAGACACCCCCCCCGCCCTCCCCGCTCCCCACTCCATTCTCCCTTGCGTACTAGGTATCTACGATTCAAAGGGTAGTTGAAGAGTCTACTTGGAGGTACATGGTACTTAGTAAACCAACTATAACTGTACTTATGACCCAATAATCACCCCATTACGTTACTCAAGGGGCTTACAACTTATGATTGGGTTCTAAGTACCCTGAACCTCCGAGTAGGATTCCACCCCCGATCAGACGAGCAGCTCCTTCGCCGAAATCGCCAGTACCTCCTCCCCGGACGTCAGGTTGACGTGCAGCATCGCGGCCCGAAAGAAATGCAAGCCCAAGACCCAAAAACCCTAAACTCCAAGACCTGAAACCCCACAAACCTCAACCCCTTAACTTTTAAACCTGGAATCCAAAACCCTAAGCCCTCGACCCTAAAGCGCTAAACCCCTGAATCCCTAGACTCGAAACGAAACAAAAATCCAAGCACTCAGTCATGAGCCCAGTCTGCGAGCAAGGCGGCGAGACCAGAATGCAGGGTATAGTCGGGTTTGGTACCTATACTATAAAAGTTTAGGGTCTAGGGTTTAGGGTTCAGGGTTCAGGGTCCAGTGTGGAGGGTTCGGGTGTGGGGATGTGGTTTCGCCATTCCTGTGTGTCTGTACCGTCCACCTCCAAAATAGCTGGGGGAACTTGCGCAGTTGAACAAACAAACTCAGCACTGAACCCAACACCCTTAGCAAGCCCAATAATTCTGGCACATTCCCCCGTTCTGAAGGGTAAAAAGGGAACTCGAGGTAAACCCTACACCCTAAACCCTAACCCTAAACCCCGAACCCTAAACCCTATAACCTCACAACCCAAGCAGGCCTCTCAGCAGGCCCCGCACAGCAGAAGGCTAAGCGCAGCGGCTGCAGCAGCGACGGCGTCCTCGCACAACCCCAACCAGGACACCGATACATTCCATGTTTCGGGTTTAATTGGGGCTTAGGGTTTAGGATTCAGGGTTCAACTAGGGTTGAGAGCTTAATTAGGGTTTAGGGTTTAATTAGGGCTTAGGATTTAGGATTTAAGTTTAGTGTTTAGGATGCACTCCAAACGCATGCTGTGCCCAATGGTTCCGCCACAGCGCCAGATGTCACGTAAAATTCGGGGTGCAGGGTGGCATATCCGACTATCCCATCCGCAAATTACCTGGTTCGTCAGTGGGTTGCTGCCTATCTCTTCGGCGATCGGGTAAGACTGACTTTAAACCCGAAACCCTGAACCCTGAACAATCAACTGCCTTCAGGATTATGACTCTATTCAGGGTACTTATAACCCTAACTATGGAAGTACCCTGCGGCTCATGACACCAAAACCTTTGCCCCCCAGCATGCCATGACCCGAAAGTCTAAAGCCCTAATTTCAAAACCCTGAGCCCTAAGCCCTAAAGCCTCCTAAACCCTGAGCTCTACAAACCTAGTCCCTATACGCACTAAAGCCCTTCTCCTCAACGATAAACCCTAAACCCTAAACCCTAAACCCTAAACCCTACACCCTAAACCCTAAACCCTAAACCCTAAACCCTAAACCCTAAACCCTAAACCCTAAACCCTAAACCCTAAACCCTAAACCCTAAACCCTAAACCCCAACCTGGCCCGAGGCTCGCCACATCATTGGGGCAGTGGTGCCCCCATTGCTGCGCAAAACAAGAGCACCAATCTAAGAAATAGTCTCCATACCTTTAGGGTGTAGGATTTAGTGTTGCATACCCTTAAAAGAGAACTAAGGGCCCCTTTATAGGTTAAGGGGCATGGGCTTGGGGTGTGTTGAATGTTGTTTTAGAAAAGGGTCCATATGTAGTAACTACTGTGGAACATGGTGCGCCGCCACCCCCCACCCCAAGCCCCAAGCCCTAAACCCCAAACAAAAAAAGTAGCATGGTGCCATCATGGTGTTGGGCACTGAATTCCAGAAGGGTACTACATCGTGGCTGCCCTCTGGGCAAGGTTTCAGGTTAAGGCTTCGGCTTCTGAAGTTCCGTCTATATACATGTAACAGACAAACACAAGTAATTACAAGCAAATGCGATGCATCAATAAATATCCCGCTGCCGTTCAAACCGTATCCCGTGTTTATTGAAAGTAAGCGTTTGGCCTAGGGTTTTGACTGCTTACAAACAAAACCAATCCGTGAGGTTGTCGTTGCGAAACGTTGGGCTTTTGCAGGATGTTCATGGCGTTTTGTTGGTTGGGGCTGCAGCGCTGTGCATTCCGACGTCTTTTTCGTGTGCGTCTTCCGGCTTTCAGGCAGTCGGGGTCAGAGCTTTGTGCCGGCCGTGCCGGTCTTGACAACGCTGAAGATAGCAGTGTTTGCAGCATGTTCGCAGAAGCTATGAACACTTGTGCATGAACACTTGTGACAGCGCATCTTATTCGATAAAAGGCAAACACGCTGAACATTCCAGTGTTGTGGGCATGTCGCAAAACGTTTGTGACAGAGCCCTTTGGGAAGGTGTTAATCCCTGTACACCTACAACTCCTCAAAACGGTAGCTACCGCCAAGGCATGAAGAACACAAACAACAGTTTGCAATAAATATATATATATATATAGATAGATAGATAGATAGATAGATAGACTAGATAGATATCAACGACAGTATAGACAAAATATGCATACACAAATTTATGCATGTATATCATATATACATGCATGCATGCATACATACATGCATACATAGGGGTCGAACTCAATCTGCGATGAAGTGTATGCCAGGTGAGGGTTGCAAGGTTTAAGGTTCATCGGGCTTGGGACTTAGGCTCTAGGGTCTAGAGTAAACTGCCGCCTTAACACAGAAGAACTATACCGACCACTTATCCTCTTCTTAAAGGTCGCAAGGTTGCTCTAGGTGAAACGAAAGCCAGCCAAACCCCTGCAAAAAACACTAAGGGTTCTATACGTCCTTTAAACCCTGAACCCTCAACCCCCTGACAACCTTGAAGTCCATTCGGAGCCCCTACCTGGGACCCTCTTTACGTGCAGTTTTCATGGGTTCTACCTACGAATTTTGGGGTAGCTACTACTAAACTGTAGGTACATAGAGTCCCAGGCTAAGGCAGCCTAAACCCTAAACCCTAAACCCTAAACCCTAAACCCTAAACCCTAAACCCTAAACCCTAAACCCCTGAGCCCTGAAACCTGAACCCTGCGGGGCATGTCATTTTGTTCTTCTCGTCGCGCGCGATGCGGGCTGCTCGGAATCGATGTTCAGCGCTCGCTTCGCCCCAGGTGGAGCCTCCAAAAAAGGGTTTAGTATAGGGTTTAGGGTTTAGGGTTTAGGGTTTAGGGTTTAGGGTTTAGGGTTTACACACCTTCACCCCTGGAGGAACCTTTGTAAAAGGGGACATGTAGCCAAAACTGCTTGGTATACATTCCCTGTTTCTTAGGTCATAAGGCTGCTCGAGGCACAGTTTCGGGTGCTTCCTGCTATTGAACCAAGAAGCGTCGGAAGAAGAATTCCATGTTGCTTGCCCTAAATTTGCATAGGGTATGTAAGGGGTATATGAGGGGTACCCGTTGAAGGGCCCAGACTAAGGACCATGTAACTACCTTAAGAGTTTCAAGTTTCTCAGGCAACCCAAAAAACCCTTTGAAGCCCTTCTAAGCCCTGGCCCCCTGAAGCTGGTTCCACATGTCCGGGCCTCCTTGCCAGCAGTGCTCCCGAAGAAGGCACTGAGCAGAAGACGGACCTGCCAGGAAGAAGCAACATTGGCAAAGAAAAGTCCCTGACCCTAAACCCGAAACCCGAAACCCTAAAGCCTAAAGCCTAAAGCCTAAAGCCTAAAGCCACCCTAAAGCCTAAACCCCAAACCCAAATTAAACCCTAAACCCATCTACGCAAGGATGACCCCTCCTGTGTACATGCACAAGAAGCTTAAGGGTTGCCTAGATGCACCAAAGGTTGAGTAGAAAGGCGCTTGAACAACTCAAGACTCACCCTGAAGGCCGAAACTCTCCCTGACTTTGTCGCGCAAGTTTTCGCGGGCAGTTCCTCAACAAACTACATTTGGGTTGCGGTAATGTCCTCTACATACCACTGCTTAGACCCCAAACGGTAGTAGAGGGCCCATGTAAGCCCAGAAGTCTTTCGTGAGACCACACGTCCAGAAGCTACCACAGTGGGTGCTTGCAACCCCAATGTATAAATGCACTTATGAGCTCCCTAAGTCCCCAAAGTAGGTTTTAAGTAGAGTAGACACATACTTGGGGTTGTAAGTACCCATAAACCTCCGAGTAGACCCCCTAAATCCCGAAAAGCTGCTTGGAGGTGCATGGCTACTTGTAAGTAGGGTCATAAGCAGGGATATCTGTGGATAGAACCTTATGTAAGGTACCCACAACAGTACGTATAAGTACACGTGAACCTCCAAGTAACGCCTAAAGCCTAAACCCGACACCCCTAAACCCTAAACCCTAAACCCTAAACCCGAAACCCTAAACCTTAAACCCTAAACCCACAGGGAGCCTCCTTGATCTCTTGCTTCGTGGTGGGATGCCGGAAGGGTCCCTGGCCAGGGGGGAGGAGCTCACCGGGCGTCGGACCGCGCTTCTTGGAGCACGGATGTTGAGGGCTCAGCCCTAAACCCTAAACCCTAAACCTTAAATCCTAAACCCTAACAGCCCAAGCCCCAAAAACCAGAACCTTGAGCAGCAAGGGTTTAGGGTTTAGGGAGGGCTCAGGGTTTAGAGTTTAGGGTTTAGGGTTTTGGGGTTTAGAGTTTAGGGCTGAGGGAGGGTTCTGGGTTCAGGGTTTGGCATTTACAAAGCAAACCAGGCAAGCGAACTGGGTGCAAGTTGGTTGGTTCCGGGTTCAGGGTTCAGGACGACAGACTACTATAGGGGCGTTAAGAATCAGAATAGGGTTTTGGGGGTTATTGTATGGCTATATAGGGACCATAGGGGAATACTAATTACTAGTGCCCTATGTTGCTCTTACTGGCTGGATTCTCCAACAGAGAACAGAATAAACCTTGAGGTCTTAAGTGGGTCCTCATACCCCCCAAATGTTTAAAGGGTTACCCATGCAACAGCGAAGAACCGGAACCTGTTGCGGCATTGGAAACATGCCCGACACTGGACTGCAAAGCAGCATGGAAAACCTAGAGCCTCCCGGGTTTAGGGCTACTTCTGGCGTAGGTTAGGGTTTAGGGCTTCGGGTTTAGGGTGTAGCCCTTATGAAGTACAACTCCTGGACTCCTGGACCTCCCTCATTCAAGTCCACCCCACTAAGCCCTAAACCAGAAACCCTAAACCCCAAACCCTAAACCCTAAACCCCAAACCCTAAACCCCAAACCCTAAACCCCACACCCTACACCCCAAACCCTAAACCCTACACTTACCCAAATCAAGACTTCGGGGGGGGGGGGGGGGGGGGGGGGGGGGGGGCGGGGGGTGCACTCCCCCCTTCGCCAACGACCAGTCTAGAGTTGGGGGTGTAGGGTTTCCAGAGCTTGGGGGTGTAGGAACAACGCAGGGCAACCTATATATATATATATACACCTTCAAAACCCGCAGGACTTCTACTCTGTGTACCTTGTTTGCTTGGAGCAGGTAACTTAAGGTTACCCCATTAAAAAAAAAAAAAAAAAAAAACAAAAACGGAGGACTTCCACTGTTGATAAGTTTGTTGGGAATAGGAAAGGTTGCCTGCAAACCTGCAAGGGGCGAAGATCGATTCGCAACCCGTGGCGTCCAGCCCTGGATCAACTTTATGCCCTCACAAGTAAGGGTCAGGCTAGGGTTTAGGGATTTGGGTTTCGGGTTTCGGATTTGGGGCTTAGGGTTTATGGCTTAGGGCGTGGGGCTTAGGGTTTGGGTTTGGGGTTTAGGGTTTGGGGTGCGGAGCAATTGTGGTACATTTCCCGTTCTTCAAAGTTACATTGAAAAGGTGTCTCTGGGAAACCCCGAATCGAACATGGTGAGCATGAAGACCACGAGTGATCAACAGCTGCAATGAAAGGGTGTCCCCAATCCTGCACCCATGTACTGGGCTCATATGGGTACTAACTAGGATTCTAAGAACCCGAAATACGGTTATAACCCTATTTATAAGTACCCGCAAACCTGCAAGTGGGGTTCAGGGTTTTGGGTGCCTCTTTTCGTTGCAAGGCACGTCCCGAATAGATGGGCACAAGCCACCCAATTCTCCGCACTAAAATTCTCCCACCCAAAGCCCGAAAAGCCCTAAAAACCTAAGAAACCCCAAGAAACCCTAAAAACCCTAAAAACCGTAAATAAACCCAAACCCGAAGAACTAAACAAATACCCTAATAACCCCCGAACACCCTACAAGCAACCCAAAAGGCCCTAGGTGGGCCGGCCCTTCGATTGCTTCCAAAGCTTCAAGGCCCAAGCGCGCTGCGAGCTTTGCTCACAGGCGCTGACAGCGGCCGTCAAGTTCACGACATCCGGCGCGATCTGGACCTGGGCGGTTTAGGGTGTAGGGTTTGGGGTTTACGGAACAAATCCCTGATATTGTTGTGAGCATCAGTTCGGATTCACCATGGGAAAGAAGCATGCTTAAAGAGCACGCAGAGCTTCTATGAGGAGGAACACTGAGCCCTGCACCCCGGAGTTTGCAGGGTTTTAGGGTTTAGGGGTTTAGGGCTTGCGTGGATGCACCTGGCCCTGACGCCCACTTCCTGTGGTGCAAGAGTCGCTGGACACTTCGGTGGCTAGGTGGCTAAACCCTAAACCCTAAACCCTAAACACTAAACCCTAAACCCTAAACCCTATACCCTAAACCCTAAACCCTAAGTCTGCAAGGTGGCCCAAAGTGCCAATGAAGCTTCAGGCTTGGCATGTTCCCCCTTATGCTAACAGCTCTTAAGCGGGGTTATAGCTGTGGGGTACTTTAATCCTTCTTAAGGACGGTTCGTATAAGGGGGAACATCCCAAGTTGAGGCGACACAGGCCGCAAAAAGAGGTGGGCCAACCCTCAACCCTCAACCCTGGAACGCCTAAGAGGCATCAAAGCAGCAAGAGGCAGCATGTGCAGTAGGTGCACCGCCTGCTGCCACTGTGCACCCATCTCACCTCAACTGGGTCTGGCGAGCATAGAGGACTGAAAAGCTTCATACACACACACACACACATACACATAAATGCATGTGTGTCTGTAGAGGAGAAAAGAACTGTGTGCATGTGTATATATATATATATGAATAAATATATTCTATGCTACCCCCCCCCCCCCCCCCCCCGCCACAGGACCTAGCTCTTAAGCATTTTTGATTTACGTCAGGCAGAAGAGCCGGCGACGTTTTGACCCACAGTTCTGGAATCTTGGGTTTTTTCACGTGTTTGGTTCGAGCCGGCTCGGGTTTGGTAACCCTGGCGTTTTATTTTTTCAGAGCCGGGCCCGAAAAGACCCAAAAACTTGACCAACAAAACGAACTTCTGAAAACCAGCACAAATACAAATAACCAATATAACTACTACGGTCAACATATTTAATATGTGTTCAGTATCATCAGTACAACCACTATATTCAGTATTCATTTTACATTCGCCTTTTTCATTCTTGTAATTATATATTCACTGTTTACATTTATAATAGTCAGTATTCTCGTTGTTTCCCTATATTCGTCGTTGTATCCATCATTCATTTTGGTTGCTTTGTCGATATATTCATTGCATTCAGTGTGCCAGTTGCATTGGTTCTACCCGTATTCGCCAAAGATAGTTCTCCTACTTATAGTCAATTGATCAATGCGTTTCTATTCACGAAAACTCACGACAATATTTACTGGGGTGGGGGGGGAACGCTAGATAGCACAGTAGATAAAGCACAGCTGGAAATAACCATGGTTAAGTTTTGGCTATCAGGGGGTGTGGTTGCTCAAGATAAGATCTTTGTATGAAGCGCAACATAGCAAAAGTGATTGAGATGTCAGGTTTTGCTTATCGAAAGGTTTAGAGTAAGATAGGTGGCTTGGATGAAGCTTCACCTAGCTAACACATACAAGATGTCAGGATTTGCTTGTTGGGAAGACCATATGCTTGAAGCTGGTGCTTAGAGCGATTAGGAATGTCCGAGTATAACCGTATAGTTGTTAATCATGCGTTACAGCATATCACGCCCAGAGCATCTGTACTTAGAGCAGTCGAGCCCGAAGAGGGGACTTTGAAGAGACTTGAAAGTCAACCGGGATCCAAGATCCAAGATGCCTCAAAAATGGCGGAGGCATGGGGGGGGGGCTGCGGGGGGGGGGGGGGGGGGGGGGGGGGGGGGGGGGGGGGGGGGGGGGGTCGCCCGGCAGGTCTGTGAAGGTATTGTGCCGGGGCCCTCCGGTACTTGGACAAATCGGGCCCCCTTGCTGCAAATGCCTCCGAGGCTTTCTGAGGCATCTAGGATCTTGGATCCGAGCCCTTAAAAGGGACCCCTTATAAGCCCCTCCCCACCCAACCTCACCAAGAAAAACTTTTAGAAGGTCCATGTTTGGGGAGGGGGGAGGGGGTTTAAAGAAAGAGGACATCTACACACTTATTAGGTTACTTCTACACGTATACACCAATTCAAAACTACTTCAAATGGCTTCTGCGCACCAGCCTACCTCACGGATGTGATTGGAGTCGCGACAGGCATAAGATGGTCAGAAGAAACAACCCGAACGAAGGGTTTAGGGTTTAGGGTTTAGGGTTTAGGGTTTAGGGTTTAGGGTTTAGGGTTTAGGGTTTAGGGTTTAGGGTTTAGGGTTTAGGGTTTAGGGTAAAGTTTAGGGTTTAGGGTTTAGGGTTTAGGGTTTAGGGTTTAGGGTTGAAATCAAAGGATACAGACACAGAGAGGAAGAGGGAGAGAGATCGTGAGGGAGTCGCGCCGGGCGGCAGGCACTGAGGGTGCTGTTGTAGCTCCGCTGATTGGGGATCACCTGCATCTGTTGCCTTAACTGTTCATGATGCCCAAACCCTAAGAGTTTAGGGCTTAGAGGACGTTAACCCAAAGATTGAATAACACATCGTAAACACTAAACGCTAAACCCTAAACCCCTAAGAAGAGGGGTAGTTGCATGTCTGCGAAGAGCTGTAGAGCTTCTTGCCATTGACCACTTGCAGAGCAGGCATGGATTGCGGCCGCATAGCTGAAAACGTTGGGAAGCCTTGACCCAGGAGTGTGATAGTTTAGGGTTTTGGGTTTTGGGTTTAGGGTTAGGGTTTAGGGTTTAGGGCTAGCCCCAAGAGTCACCTAGGAACAAAAAAGGTACCCTTTTTGGTTTCCAGGGGCTGATAAGGGAGCCTAAACCCCAAAGAAAGGGGAATAAGGGCCTTCTCTGGGTCCCAGAAGCAGGTGGAGCTTGGGAATCTCCCGAAACAAGGCCAAAGCCAGCTGCCAGCAGCCATCTTTGTCGCAAGCGCTGATTGCCGCATTGTGGCTGATGATGTGAGCGCCGATGCCGGATTTGGCCATGCTGCCAAGAAGATGCACAGCAAGCTGCCACTGTGCTCCCTTCCCGCAAGAACTGATGGTCAAACTGTAGCTAACGATGTTGGGTTCGATCTTCAGTGCTGGCATGGTGGTGAGAAGCTTGACGGCCTGTTGCCACTGCCCATCTTTCTCGCAGGCACTGATCACAGCACTGCATGCGATGACGTCCGGGTAGATGTGGCTGTCCAACATCGTGTAGAACAGCTGCATCGCCGTTTGCCATTGCCCACCCTTTTCACAGGAACTGATCGCGGCGCTGTAGCTGACCACCGTGGGACGAACCCTACCCCGTGGCATACTGTGCAGGAGGTGCACAGCTAGCTGCCATTGAGCACCCTTTTCGCAGGAGCTCATCGTCGCACTGTAGCTGATAACGTTTGCGTCGACGTGTGCCTTTGGCATGGACTGGAAGAGGTGCAGTGCCAGAGGCCACTGCATGCCCTTCTCACAAGCGCTGATCGCAGAACTGTAACTAATAACATTGGGGGAGATACCTTGCTGATGCATTTCAGCAAACAACTCGATGGCCACTTGCCACTGACTGCCCTTCTCGCAAGAGCTGAGGGCAGCGCCGTAGCTGATCGTATCTGGAGAAATCCCGTGCTTGGGCATGGAGGCAAAGAGTGCCAGGGCCCCCACCCAGTCCCCAGCAGCAGAACAAGTTGTGATCCCGACGGTGATGTGGGCTGGACTCAGCTGTATCCGCCCTTCCTCTCCTTGGTAGCCCAGTGACCCTACTGTACTGCAATAAGGGCACCCTTTTGGGGCTGGTCACTTTGCAAGGGAGCCTGTAGCCCAAAAAAAGGGGGTAAAGGGTACCGCTGGGCTACCAAGTCTCCAAGCGCTTCTAGGAGCTGATACATCAAGTCGGCTCGCTTGGCAAGCTTCAACTCCTTGCTAGCCCAGGCATGTTCCAACGAGGGTCCCCCCTTCTTGTTTCTCCTATATGTTTATCCTTTTTGTCGTTGTGATGTTTTTTTTTTTTTTTTTTTTTGGGGGGGGGGGGTGGCTGCTGCATAAGGTAACCTTGAACCAAAAAAAGGAGGGTACAAGGGCACCGCTGGGCTACCAAGGCTCCTGTAGCAGCTGCATGGTGGAGGCTGGGCTTTTGCACCATTGCTTCAAGTTTCTGCCGCTCCCGGCTTTTGTGGCCAAGTGCCGCGTCAGGAGGGACCCCACTGTCCGGACTGTGGGGGAGCCGCGCAAGGCCATCCAAAATGGCACGGGCGTTGCTCCAATTCTAGGCAAGCTTTTCTAAAGAGGGAACCCTAAACCCTAAGTGTGAAAACAGGAACCCCTCAAACCAAAGTGCAATGCGCGACCGTGCACTCAAAGACTAAAGAGTTGCTTCATGGCTTCAGGCTGTTGAGGGCTTCAGGTTTAGGATTCCTAAGTTTAGAGTTGAGGGGGCATAGGGTTTAAAATGATGAAGCACAATAGCTCGTGAAGGGGATTCCTTGAGCCATTCCTTGAGCAAGTTGTGATGGCTCTCTTGAGGGTACCCCAACGAGTATATCGAAAAACTAGACAACTGGCCTCAACATATGCTTCCCCAGTCTGTTTTGACCTGCGTTGACGCAAAAATCTTCAAGGTCCGTGGGCTGGAATCCCAGCCTGGAAGAAAGCGTCAACAGACTGAAGGTGCCCTGTCCCCCGCCCCCCTGAAACCACCAACAAAACACTTACCCCTAAAACCCCTGAAGTCTCCGGAAGCCCTCTGAACCCCCTCAAAGCCCCAAACCCTAGAGTAACCTAGGAACAAGAGGGTGCCCTTTTGGTTTTGAAGAGGCTTATAGGGGAACCCAAACTCTAAAGAAGGGAATAAGGCCTACTCTAAGTCCTAGTTGCCCTAGACCCTAAACCCTAAACCCTAAACCCGAAACTGTGTGTCCTAGCACCCCAAAACGCCCAAGAATCGCCTTGACGTGGGCTGCAGCGCATCCGCAGCTGCCCTTCTCCAGTCTTGGGGGGTGTTTGGGGTTTAGGGACTTTTCGTTTGGGGGTTTAGGGTTAGGGTTTAGGGCTTATAGGGTTTAGGGTTTAGGGCTTAGGGGTTTTGGGTCTTGAGGAGGTTTAGTTGGGGCTTTAGGGGGTAGGGTTCGTGAAGCTGATGATTTTTGGTTTTGAGGCGGGCTTTTAAGGTTCAGGGCGGGCTTACAGAGGTTTATGCCTTACAAAGGTGGAAGGTCCCCTCAACATGTCACGGAGCATGCAATGGAGGAGCCTGCACCCTAAAACCCTAAACCTTGGGATGTTCCCCTTTATACGAACAGTCCTTAATAGGGATTAGAATAGGTGGTACTATAATCCCTATGAAGCAGTGCTAGTTCCAGGGGGAAGATCCCAGCCCTTGAGCCCTAAAACCCTAAACGTGCTGTGGATGGAGGAAATCTTGCACGCTAAATGGTTTAGAATCCAGATTGAGTCATTCAGGTATTTCAGCCATTTTAGTCTAATTGTAAGATCCAGGCTTTCAAGGAGATATTGGCCCAAGGTTGCCCAAAAGTGCCCGACAGGGCCCGAGGCTGCCAGACTTGGCCCGACCAGCCGAAGCATTGGGGCCGTTATTGCCACTGGCGCAGGAGATGAGTCAGCCAGTGTAAACCCTAAACCCTAAACCCTAAACCCTGAACCCTAAACCCTAAACCCTAAACCCTAAACCCTAGACCCTAGACCCTAAACCCTAGACTCTAGACCCAAGGCATGCGTAGACAGGGCAGTGGGACAAGTCAAGGTGTGCTGTATGGTTCAGAGCCGGTAAGTGCCCAGAAAAAATACACTTTTCTGGCTGGCTCAGAATTACGAGTTTCTTGTGTATTATCCCTGTAAAAACGTAGGTTCTTACCCTATATAATATATACTTGGGCCTGAAAGCTGACTTATAGGCACCCCCTTGCTAGCCAAGCATATACTATATAGGTACATGGATCCTTAGGGTAAGGTTTAGGATTTAAACCCTCCTCCCGCCTCTTTGGCCCACGCAAAGCAAAGCTTGCCCAAGTCATGGGCACGACCTGAACTGCTCATTTCCGACTTGTTTGAGGGACTATACTGCGTATCAAAACCCTACTAGACCTATACCTCAAGTCCGAAATCCTAAACCCCAAACCCTAACCCTAAACCCTAAACTTCAGTTGTTGCAAATGGGTAGGATCGAGACCGGGCTCGGGGGGCTTTGGGTTCTTTGCAAAGGCAGGGAGTTTAAAGTTTTCTTGAGGGTTTACTTGAAGGTTTGGGTCCTTATAAGCAGTGTTATAAGTTTCCGAGGCAAGGTTCGAGCCATAGTTCCCCGACTTATGACCCTGCTTAAACCGCACCCATGAACCTCCAAGTAGGCCTATAAGGCTTCAAGGTTGCGTAACCCTAAACGCTTTACCCTAAACACTGAACCCTAAACCCTGAACCCTGGACCCTAAACCCTAAAACCCTAAACCCTAAACCCTAACTGAACCCTAACCAAACCCTAAACCCTAATCCCTTTGGGCTTGCCTTCCAGGCATGGTGAAACCGACGTCCCAAGCCATCCTACGTCCTTAGCTCCTCGCTTGGCTTGCTGGTGGCTTAGGGCTTTAGGGTTTCTCGGGGTTTAGGGTTTTGGGCTTACCGTGCCATTCTCTCTTAAGTTGCACGTGCTTGTAAACACCTCTAAGGCCCACAGCAAAATAGGAAGGAATGCTGAGTGAACACATGAATTGTTCCCTCCTGTCCGCAATTTCGCTGATTACTTGCTGCGATTTCAAGTGGGGGCTTACGATCTTGTTTATTCGGGGTATTTTATTGGGGTCCTTATTAATTAATTGCGGGATCCTACTGTTTGGGGACTACATCGTCTGTTGAAAACAGGCTTCTGATATTGCAGTTCCAGGCTGCTCCCTGAGGCTTCGCCATGAATCCTAGCCTACGCAGGTGCTCTTGGAGAATATTGGGAACCCTAAACAAGCCCTAAGCCCAAACCCTGACGCCCTGAATCCCTGAGACCCTGAAACCCTGAAACCCCGAAACCCTGAAACCCCGAAACCCCGAAACCCCGAAACCCCGAAACCCCGAAACCCCGAAACCCCGAAAACCTGAAACCCTGAAACCCCGAAATCCTGAAACCCTAGACCCTGAAAAGCTGAGTAAGTGCTGACTCAGGTGCAGAAGTCGTTGAAGGCCTCTACACGATGTCGACAGCGACTCGTGGTACGGTTTAGGGATTAAGGTTTAGGCTTATGGGCTTACAGGCTCAAGATTTAGGGTTTAGGCTGATAGGCTCAGGGCTTAGACTTTCGAAGCGGCAAAAGCTGATGTTTGAGGTCAGGCTAACCATGAACATCCGCAAGCAATAGAGCCAAAGCCCTGGAAAGGTTACAGTGAACGGACACAAGGGGCATCAACTAAACCCTAAACCCTAAACTCTAAACCCTAAACCCTAAACCCTACACCCTAAACCCTAAACCCTAAACCCTAAACCCTAAACCCTAAACCCTAAACCCTAAACCCTAAACCCTAAACCCTAACCCTAAACCCTAAACCCCAAACCCTAAACCCTAAAGCCTAAACCCTAGCCGACCGCTTCAAACCACAGACCAGCCACCCACACCCTGAAACCCTGAACCCGAAGCCCTCGGGGTACGTAGCTATATCCCTCTTGCCTCTTGCCGTGGGCTACTCAAAAAACATGTGAAACCTGAGCCTCACGCAGCCCAACGTACCCAAAATCCCTACGACCCGAGACAGCAGGCCCTTCTTCCCACCTTTGGGGACCACATGAACCCTATAAAATTGCAATCATATACCTTGAGGACCATATATAGCACCCTTCTTCAAATTGACGACAAACCCTTCTAGGGTTCATGTAATCCCCAACGCACTCGTGCCTTCCGCTGCAACGCTTCCTCAGATGCCTTCGAGGAGCAGATTTTTCGTGTGCTGAACGAGTTTTCGGCAAGATGGTGCCGACTAATTACAACATGCACCTTAAACGGACGTATGGGCCATCTAAACCTCAGAAGGGGATCATCGTGGTACAGGGTATGTGATCGTAATGGGGATCGCAAACATATCCGAAGCAAAGGAATAATCACCGAAAATACCGAAGCAAAGGTAAAATCGATTAGCGAAGTTTGATTTATGGCGCCGAGTTTGTTGGGAGGACAACCCTAAACCCCAAACCGTAAACCTCAGTCGGTTGAGTTAGGGTTTAGGCGTGCTTTGGGCGTCTTTGTCGGTCCTTAGACTCGGGGAAGGGGCTCCGAACCATGTGGAGCTGTTGGACGCGTTTAAGATGTATAGGGTGTCTTAGAGTCTTAGAACATGTCGGGTTTGGGGTTTGGAGTTAGAACATGTAGGGTCAAGGGCTTAGGGTGTCTGATTGTGGCGCCCTGGAGCAGCACCCAGGGGCGCACCCCAAGTCGCACATCCCCACCCCCGTGTGCGCTCCACCCTCGTCTTGAAACATTGCGGATGTAGGGTTCTCGTGCTTTCTGGCTTTCTGAACGCCGTGTTCATGATCTTGCATGGCGACGCAGGCTACAGAGAGGCGCCTGCGAGAAGGTTCAGGATCTCGGGTTCGGCGTTGGAATGCTACATCCGGCAAGGCCCACAGCCGACAGAGTGCAGGGTTCCGGGAGATATGAGGTTCGACGAGCTCCCTGAATACTTTCATTTCCCCCAACAAAAGCGATAACTCAACTTCCAGATAAACGTATACCGTGCATATATACCCCACATAGAGCGCAACCCCTTTAAGAAGGACCCCCCCCGCCCCCCTCCACCCCCCCACTCCCATTCGGAAACCCGGAAACACCCACAGCTACTATTTGCTTAAGAACCCCCAGAGAACAAACAACAATAATCCCTATATTGCCCTTAAAGGTTGCTGGTTGGGGGGGGGGTTCTTAAGCAATCAGTAAGCAGTGGAAGTGCCTTGGCGACGCCCCGAAGTGCGGCCGGGAGGGCATCCCGGCGGCGGACCAGTACGCAATGTGGGGGGCAGACCGCCTCTGAGGGTGCTTGGAGGTTCGTGGTTACTTCTAAGCAGGGTTACAAGTTGGGTATACCGTATATCCATGGTTATAACCCTAAACCTAAAACCCTAAACCCTAAACCCCAAACCCTAAACCCCATAACCCTACTTATAAGTGGCCATGAACCTTCAAATGTCTTCAGCCATGTGTCGAGCGTATGAGGCTGGAAGATGTTGAGGAGTGGGATGGTCTGGAAACCCCACT